AGGATTCATACTTTTCCCAAGGGTATTAGCATGTAAGTAAATGTAATGAATTCGACTGAAATTCAAACTCAGCTCTCCGATTCCTCAATCCAAGACAATGTCCATTACTCCACTGTCAATAATAAATAATGAGTAAAAATTTCACAAACAATACTATAAAATAGCTACAAATAACCACATTCGGAAAAATAATTATTTCTTCTCAGTAGCCTCTAGAATAATATTGAAATATAATCATTACAGCCTACCCAATAACTATTATGATAATACAATAGACTTTGCTATTGATAATGCATCAGTATGAAACAGACTATCACTGCTTAGTGTTGATCTCATTGTATACTTATATATACATGCGAAAGTGAAAAATTATATGCACTCTTGTATAAAGATATGTTATGGCGAAAATGCAGATAATTTGACTTATACTTAAGTACTTAATGTAGTTTTTAATCCAACATTACTTCTTAATGCTACAAACATTATATTTAGTAAGTACATGTATTTGAGTAGATATTTCTCTTTCTGTTTGTTTTTCTATCTACCAGCCTAGCAAATCCTTTTAAAGAAAAATGTGTATCCTTTAAAAATCCTTTTATTACCAAGTATATTTACCTGGCCTCCCACCAAGGTTAGATATGACACAAGGTTGTTTTAACATGAACCCTACACATACTTATGCATATGGACCAATGACAAAAATTGTTTTTTGTATGGCCCCCCCATGACAACTGTCATGCTGGCATTACACTGACCCAATCTGTTTAGTGCAATGAGGAAGGTGCTCCCGCAAGGTTGGAATCCCCAGGGATGAGCAACTTCTCCCATTTAAAATGAGGAGAAACATAGCTCCACATAGGGAGTGATAACCATGCCTCAGTAAATCCTCAATGACAAGCAAGCCAGTAGATGGAGATATCACTTTAAAAAAATCCAAAAGCACAGGAATGTCTACTCAAATATTTGTATACAATAAATATAACATTTTCTAATAATAAAATCTATCTATTTTAATTTATATAAAATCATAATTATAGATGAATTACCTTTTAAAATATAAATATTTAAGTGACATTTTCCTTAGTTCTTACCGTCACATGTGAAAATCTTGGACACATGAAAACTTTTAATTTTTAAAAAAAAATTAATTTCAAATGTGATTACTAATCTAAAAACTGAGTTGAACATTGTAAATACATAGAGTATCTATATCTAAGTAATTTTGTGTCTATGCCCAAATTTATTGGGAAATTTAACAAAAGATTACAAAGCAAAAGTTTTGGACATACATTAATAAGCTGCCTTCAATAATTAATTAGTGTGCCCTTTATTTGCTATGACTGCTGTTGGACATTTTGAATAATTTAAAATCATTTTTTTTTTGCACTCATGTTGACAAATCACCTTAGGATTGCTCAAGTTTTGGCATTCCTCTGATGAACACTTTCCATAGATTTTCTATTGTCAGGTGACACTCTGAAACTCTTATTTTCCTTGCCTTTAACCACCTATTTTCTCTTCAGCATGTTTCAGATCATGATCATGCTGAAATAGTCAATGAGTTTAAGATGTTTTACAGATTGAACCAAGTTCTTTGCCAATATTTCATCATACATAGCACTTTTCCTTTATTCCTTCAATGCACCTGTACCCCTAGAAGTAAAACAAATCATTGTCCTTCTACTACCAGGTTTAACTGTTGGGATGATATTTTGTGGGTTATACAAAAGACATTATTTTCTTTAGATATGTTTTGAACAGTTCCCACCAAAGAATTCAATTTTTGTTTTGACAAAACATAATATTTTGTTCCAGAACAAAGAAGGCTTCATGAAATGATTATGGACAAAGAAGAGATGAAACTTCATGTGAATGGCCTTCAAGAGAGGGTTTTTTCCTCAGAGTCCCAGTCTGCAGTCCTTTCTAACAAGATTTTCTGTGGATTTAGTTAATTTTTGAGGATGTCCTGTTCAAAGAAGATTTATTGTGAGGTCATATTGCTTTCATTTTTTAACAATAGCTCTTATCATACAGATGGGGATATTAAGTTCATTGAAGATCTTTTCATATTTCATTCCATGATTATGATAGTTAGTTATGACTATGAACTTTTTTAGAGATCTCCATTGTCTTCATCTTTGCAGATGGCAGGCAGAAACTCAGTGTTCATTTAAACTACATGCAGGACTTTTCTAAAATATTGATATTTGGGCATTGTGTGCTTTGGTGGCTTTGAAGGAAACTTGCAAATTAATAATTTGAGTATAATTCAATTCTAAACTGCAAATTTTATTGTTACATTCATAATTTCAGAACATGTCCAAAACTTTTGCATATTGTATGTTTAATTTGTATACACCATATATACTTGTGGATAGGTCGCACCAATAGATAGGTTGCACCTTAAGTTTATAGTTGTCAAAGTGGGTATTTGACTTGTAGATAGGTTGCACTATAATCTGAGAAGTTACTTGGACTTTTTTAATGTAAATATAACTATGAGCAGTGCAGATTGTACATTTTTATTCGATATGTGACACTATACTGTTGGAAAGGGCAACTGTGTAAAACTGAAATATCGGGAAAAGTTCATTTTCTCCCTTGTTCGAATCCAGGGTACTCACCATGCCACAGTCTACTTCAGATTCTCTATGCTGTTGAGTGATTTTTATTGAATTTTGGTGAAAAAAACTGTGACCTGTCGTTGAATATATTTAGTAGATAAAAAAATTCCTTACTTCTTCTTAGATATAGAATACCCAAAGTATTTATTTTGTTCAACTCAATTTTTATATTTCTAGCCACATTAGAATTTGTTTTTTAAATCTTTTGTGTGTAACTGTAAATTCTGCTAAATTTCTATTGTGCTTTTAAGATTTCATTTTTATTCTTATTGTAAAGTTTTGGTCTGGTGGATAAAATGCAAAAAGTTATTTTTGGTTTTGTTTGTGTTTCTTTTTGGTTTGGTTGATTCTACCTGATGTTGCTTTTTTTTCTTTCTTCTTCTTCATCAAACTGAATATCAACCACGTGTCATTCATGACAATCCTTTTTTTATCAATTACAGCTTTGCAATTTTATCGTAATGTCTGCACTTCTGATGGTAGGTTAATGAAGGTGCCTGAGCAAACTGATCAGATTAAGGACCTCACTCAAGTTGATTCTTTTTCACACTTTGGCACTTTTTTTTTATGTTTTTTTGCTTCTTTTATTGTGGCACTGAACTTTTCTATTCAGGCTTATTCTTGATTTTTTAATTTGACTAACTTTTTTTCCCCTCTTTGGCTCTATTTGATCCTCTCCTTTTCTATCATAATCTTTCCCTCTCCTTTCTCTCATTTCAATGTAAGAAGTCATGAGAACCATTATTCCCTTGCTTTTTAGGTTGACTACTTTTAAGAGTTTCACTGATCATTGATCATACTTTTTTGCCAGCAGTGGGCCGTCAATCATCACAAATATTTCAAAGCTTAAGTCTGAAACAAGGTTGCAGTTGAGGAGAACCAGAACAGGACCAGATTCATTAGCAATATCTTTTGGTATCATTTAAATATACTTTGATCCTCAAAACCTGTTAAAAATGAAAAAAGAAAAGAAAAAGCTTTTATGTCAATAATTGAAACATCTGAACAATTTTAAACTCTCTGACATTGAAACAAAGTGATTAATGTTACTACTCAACATTAAATCATAGATCAATGTTATATTAGCCTAATTTTTTTAAATGACAATTTTAGATATATTTTATTTTAGTCTGCATATTAATCTTGTGACTTGCATGAGTGCTTTGTGAAGAGGAAAAAACTCTGTGACTGTAATTTTATTCTATCTAATATCTATACAACTAATACAAATTAGCTTGCCTTTTATGGCTATCCTGTCACTGTAAAATAGGGAAGAACAATACATGACAATTTTCATCAGCCTATCAAATAGCCTATTGAGTGAGAAAAGTCTATACCTCTCATACCAGAGAATATTATAAAAGGCTTTGGATAATGATGTTAATGGCTGGAACCTGATACTCAAGGAATTTGGCACTGAATTCAGGCTAAACCTTACAAATAGTGATTAACTTATAAATAAGTTCATTAATTTATAAATACCTTAAGATCATGTTTTAATTATTCCAATCTTCAATTCCTGATGAAAGTAAAACAAGTACTGTTTCATCAAATATAAAAGTTTGTCTTTTCTGTATAAAAAGTTTATCCTGCCACTGAAGGTGACTTTGATCCATGAATAATACAGTGTTTGAATTTCATAGTTGTGTTGTCATATTCTGCTATGGCAACTGAAAACAACTTTGAGTGAAATTAACAATAAGAATATTGCAATTGAGAAGCCTTGAAAAAGAATGCAGTGGAAAGGGAAGTAATATTAATAATGCAGTGTGCTAAAGATTAAATGAAATAAGAATTATATCCATGGGTATATTCTTCTTCAATGTATCTATTAGCTAATGCAAATATATAAGGATAATAGATTTAATATAAGGAATATTTTGATATCTCAATTGGAAGTGATGATTGGCTGAGAAAAGCAAATGAGGACAAAACAAAACTTAGAAAAAGAAATATTTTAATATTCTGTTTTGTAAGTAAACATTGGTTTACCCTGAGTAGAAGAGGAAACAATCATTGATTGAGTAATAGGTCGATATTCCCCTTTCAAGTGATCATTGGTTAACACAAACCAATGAGAAAAAAATTCTTAAAATAAGGAATATTATGTTGAGAAGTAACCATTGGATAATACAGATCTGTGAGGAAAAATTTCATAGAATAAAGAATAACTAATATATTTTGTATACAATTCTTCCAAGAGAAAATGTCTTAGTATTCTGATCATTAACTACCATTGGCTAATGCTGGCTGGGTGTAAGTTTTCTACAATTGGAGTATGATTAAATTAACCTGAAAATTTAAGTTAGGCCTCCTCAGGTTTTCTTTCAGCTGTTTTTTCCATATATTTTATTTTGTCTTCATCTTTTCTTACAGGAACATGTTCCTGATGTCCCAGTTGAGGGAACTGATGTGGTAAGCACAGTTTGAAATTTTATGAGGAAAATATCAGTTTCAATGAGAGAAAGGTAAAACAGAGAAATTGAAGTTATTATTAATCTTCAGTTGCAGTTTGATATTCATAGATAATCATCGTTGAAGAATTACTATTCACTGGTTGTTTAATGTTTTCTTTATTGAGCAAATTGTTAGATTGTGCAATAAATATATAATCTAAAGATACAATCAATGACCAGTTCTCACTCCCGTGTTATGAATCAAAACCTATTTTTCTTTACTGCCTTTCAATATTTACCTTTCTTTCTTTCTTTATGATTTTTTACCTGCCTGCTGCTCGATCAAACTGGTTACATTGTTTATATGACTACCTCTTCTGTTTTAATTTTTTTTTTTCCCTTCTTTCTGTTAAAAGATATCTCAAGCAACTAAACTTTAAAAACGTAAATATTAACTCCACAGAAATTTCCTCGGCGGAAGAGCCTAACGAACTTCTCATCTCCAGGATACAAAAAATCACGTTTACGCAGAGTGTCGTTTGATTACTCAGTTGAGACATTTTTCGTACGTACGAAAAATAATCCTTACACAAACTTCCTCAGATATTTTCAGTCAGATTCTGTTTTGTTTGTTTTAAAATAGCTGTTAATTATATTTTAGGTAATCAGGTTTGGGAGATATTTCAGCAATAAGTTAAAAAAAATTTTTTTAAATTAATTTTTTTTTAATTTTTGAATACAGTACTCTCCAACTCCCACAAAATTGTATTTACTTTTTAGTAATACCAGCAAAGTTAATTAAACACTTTCATAATAAGGAATGAAAATCAACAAATCTATTGTAAGTGTGTGACAAATATTCAATAAATATCATCTGAAATTTCTGGAGGAGTAATCATGATTCCACATGCTGATTAATTGATTTGTTTTTTACGGCTTATCAACCTTTTGTGGGTTATTTAAAGTCAAAATATTTGGGGATTGTATGAATAATTCTTTCTTTGCAAGTTAATACTGCATTAAGAATTTTTGAGGATAATGATTTTTCCCAATACAAATCCTACTATTTAACCCATAGCTTGGGAGAGGAGACAAATTTGAACCTTTTCCAAGGGTATTTGCACATAAGTGAATTTAATGGACTCAACTGGAATTCGAACTTGATTCACTGAGTTCTCACTGAGCCATTAAACCACCAGCACATTTGTTGTAATTCAACCAATTAATTTCACTAATAGCCTCATCCTTGTAGTTTTTGTTACTTATTAATAAAAGCCAGAAGCAATAATAGTAACTAATAGTAGATTAATCTGTAGGATAAGTCTCTTCTCATCTGTAGGTTCCAGTTGATGTTTGCAACTTGGTGTGGAAAGAAATATTTTGAATTATTAAGCCTCAATATTTTTCTTCCTGATATAATTTTGATTCTTTAATATGAAAGTGTTAAATTAATTTTCAGATAATGACCATAGCTGCTATTAACAAACAAAACAGCTGTATCTTGTTTCAAAAGGACATTATTTTTGTAGTAGTTGTCTAATACACATTTTACATCAATATATTAATCTACAGTGCATCATCTTTACTCTTCTCCCTAAAGATATAATAAGACATCAATAATTCCAGTTGTGATTGGTGCTTCGAGTTTGATTTGAAAAGGTTCTGATAGGCTTGTTGAAGGAGTCCCTGGCAAAAAAATGGTTTTCACTAGCACAGCTCACATCTTACGAATGGCTTTATCTATATAAAATCTGTGTGTTTTTAAGTTTTTTTATTTTTATTTTTTCACAAAAATGCTCAGTGAAAATGTCATGATGCCATTTTTGCCCTTAGCTCTCTGTTTGGGATCTGGAAGGAAATATGTATACAGCAGAAATCAAAGGAAGGAAAAAAAAATAAATAAAAAAATAATAATAATAATAAATAAATAAATAAAAATGATAATAATAATCATCAAAACTATCACCACAACTACAAATAATAATAACAGCAGCAAGGAGGAAGTGGAGGAAGAGAAAAAAAAATAAATTAAATAAAAATGCAGGCATGAAACAAATGGGTCAGAAAGTATTTGATATTATAATACAGGCTTAGGTAAATGCAAAAAAAAATCTCATAAAATTTACATTCATTAAGTTCTCTAAATATGATAAAGTCCACATTAGAAATTAAACTTGTAGATGAGTGAAAATCATTTCAATTCAAAATATGTTTCTTGATATTGCCAAAAAACAGTTGAACATTATAAAATGAGGAGTACACATTGATTTTTGCACGAAAAGTTTTAAAAATCTAGATGTTTTTTTTTTCTTTTGTATAAACCCACATGAAAAAAATCTTTGTGTTGCATTTTGGATCTGCAGGTATGCAAAATAAATCACACAGTATGGTTTGAGATTTTGATAACCAAGTAAAATATTGCTTAACTGTGATTCTGATAAAACAGTAAATGGTTACTTTAACCTATAATATATATTCATTGAAAATTAAAATATATATTTTATGTATGCATATATATTAGATGTGTGCATAAGTATTTATTTTGTATACATTTTAGAAATGTTACCATCCTGACTCCATGTCTCATATTAAAGAATCCAAATTATATCAATTTTCAAAAAATCTTGATGCTTAATCCAAATTCTTCAAAACATGTATAGTTGAGAGTATTAAAAGACTGTGTTTACACATTTTATAAGTGTTTTCACCTTTCTCTGTGTGTGTGTGTTTGTCAAAATATATATATATATATATATATAATGATATATAATTTTGTATAATATCAACAAACAGTACTTAGAAAAATATGACAAACTGGAAAGTTTTTTTGTGACACATTTCATCCATTAGGATTTCATCAGACTGAGCTTTAATGATGTTGCCACATCTACACATGCACATGAATTGAGAGACTCAAAAAATATTCTTTCAAAAGATTTTGAAATTACCTACGTCTCTCGTTTTGTGCACATGTGTAAATGTGGCAACGTCAACAAAGCTCAGTCCAATGAAATCCAAATGGATGAAATGCATCACAAAAAAACTTTCCAGTTTGTTATATTTATATATATATATATATATATATATATATATATAACTTGAACATTATTTTTAGTGGATACTTGTATTTGAGTATGCACTCTATTTATTTATTTTAACAATACTTACCTCTGCTCAGAGGGATGCAGGTTTAAATCTTGCCAGAGAACGTAAATTTTTCTTTAATATTCTGGCTGGTAGATGAAAATAAATAAATATGTTGTTTAATAAATAAACAGTGTCTACTCAAATTTGAGACCCCACTAAAAATAACATTTAAAGGGATATAATCTGTTGGATTAATAAAATCCTTTCTATATATATATATATATATATATATATATATATATATATGCCAACCACACACACATTTGTTTTTAGAATGTAATATTGCATATAAAAATGCAAATTTGAAACTGGTCAACTAATGCAAAGCCAAAAGTTAAATTGTAAACAAAACTTCAATTTCATTTAGTGACTGTCCCCTTTTGGGCCTTTTTTTAATTCTCTGATCAGCTTTGTTTATGTCTTCAAGGCATGAAACTGAAGTAGGTGCACCTGGTCACTGGGAATTCCAAATATGCAGCACCTTCAATTTCATTAAATGAGTCACCTTGACACCTTTTGTAACAGAGACCCTGGAAACTGGGTAAATTTTGTCTCTAGCTATATGTATGATTGTGAGGCTGAGCCATAAAACATTTAACACTATGTAGGTGATTATTTTTGCT